AAAATATTAAAAAATCACTTTGAAGTTTAAAAAATTCAGTTCATTTAGATTTCAGTTTATTTTAGTAGCCCGCGGATGTTAAAAAAACAAACAGTCTTCCTTTTTCAGATTGCAGATGTTTGGTACACCTCTTCTACTGCAGAGGTCTACAGATGTGGTCCGCAGACTGCAGACATTTTGCATCAGAAAAAACAAACAGCACCTTATACAACATTTTTGGCGTTTTAGTCGGAAATTTTTTTATCTACTTTTTATGTTATTTTTCACAAAAAAAAAAAAAAAAAAAAAAAAAAAACCGTACCATTTAACATGGCTATATCCATAAAGTTGGTAAAACACTCCAAAAGTAGAAAATATGGACAGCTAAATGGTTGCTCCTGTCGATTCACATGAAATGGCAAACAATGATATAGGTTTTCATACAAAAAAAACCTATTTACTTTAATAATTTTTTAGATAAGTTGCTGAAATCATTTTTTCTTATTGTTAAGTCCCATCACTTTTTAAGCCACTACTTATATGAGAAAATGTTTGCCTTCATGATGTAATATAACCTCAACAACTAGTTAACATTTTAAGGTCAACAATATATATATTTTTTAAATATATAATTTATGAGTATTCAAATTAGGGTTAACCACCTTCCTCCATTTGCATCGATAGTTTTTTTTTTGCATCGATTGTATATTTTGAAAAAGCATTTGATACCATAAATTGAAGTTTTCTTGATTTGGTTATGGATCAAATGGGATTCGGGCATAAATGGAGGATGTGGATTTATGGTTGTCTCTCTTCCGCAAGAGCATCAGTCCTGGTTAATGGTGCTCCTACAGAAGAATTTTCAATCACGTGTGGAGTGAGACAAGGAGACCCGCTCTCTCATTTTTTATTTATCCTTGCCATGGAAGGATTACATGTAGCCATACAAGATGCAAGTGAAAAATCTCTAATTCTGGGGATCAAACTACCTCGTGGTGGCCCAACAGTTTCACATCTTTTTTATGCGGATGATGTCATTTTTGCGGGTAATGGGATAGGGGTAGTATAAAGAACTTATCGCGTATTCTTAAATGCTTTGAAATCTCCTCCGGTCTCAAAGTAAATTTTCAAAAATCTCGTCTATTTGGCATATGTACCACAGATTCGGAGCTTCAAGATATGGCCCAAATTCTCGGATGTTCGAAAAGCTCATTTCCTTTCTCATATTTGGGGGTTCCAGTCGGTGCCAATATGTTACTAAAGAAAAATTGGAAACCCATTATGGAAAATTTTCAATCAAAGTTATCAAATTGGAAAGCAAACTCTTTATCATTTGGGGGGAGATTAACCTTGATAAAATCAGTTTTGGGTAGCTTACCCACATACTATTTATCTTTATTCAAAGCACCACAATGAATTTTGGATTCATTGGAAAAAATAAGACGAAGATTCTTATGGGGAGGGACCGATGTTAAAAAAAAAAGATTCATTGGGTTGATTGGACAAAGGTAGTGGCAGTTAAAAAGGATGGAGGTTTAGGGGTGGGTACTCTTAAAGCACAAAACGTGGCCTTACTTACCAAATGGTGGTGGAAGTTAAGAAACGAAAATGAAAGCTTATGGTCTAAAGTAATTACCAGTATTCACAACCTTAGGAATCAACCAGCCACTTACATGGTCAGTAAGAGTGCAGGTGGGGTGTGGAGTAATATTTCAAAAGCAATCAAGAGTCTACAAAATCACAACATTGATCCGGACGAGCTATTTTCCCTGGTTCCAAACCATTCAACCAGAATCCTTTTCTGGAAAGACAAATGGTGTGGGAGAGATACATTGCAAAATAGATTTCATCATCTCTACCGGCTAGAAACAGTAAAGAAATGTCAATTCATGGAGCGTATATGCAGCACAGGCTTCCTATGGAAATGGAGATCAAACAATTTCAATGATGTAGAGAAGGCTGAACTACATGATTTCTACTCCATGTTTGGATCTATGGCGTTTCATCCTTCTTCTAACATTGGTTTTCGTTTTAATTTTAACAACGATGGCACATACCTTGTGAATATTCTAAGGAGAATGGTGAATTCAAATCTTAATCAGGTTGTGGGACAAAAAATATGATGGTCAAAATTAATCCCCCTAAAAGTGAAATGTTTTGTGTGGAGGGTTGTAATGGATAGAATTCCTGTTGCGCAGTCGCTTAGTCTCAGGGGTATATTAGTCCAAAATCCAAATTGCCAATTATGTGGGGTAAGTAACGAATCTTCGAATCATCTTTTAGCTGATTGTGGATTCTCCAAGGAGGTCTGGTATTGGATTCTAAAATGGTGCGGAATTAGCAATAACCAATTCAAACTCACTACATGGTTTTATTGATTTTGCTGCCTCATGGGGAAATTGTCCAAAGAAGAGAGAAATTATCAACATGATTTTTTACGCCACGTTTTGGAACATATGGATAGCAAGAAATGGAAAAACTTACACGAAATTTGGTGCTTCCCCTACAATCATTGCGGATTCTATAATTCTTCAAACTTACGAATGGATCAAATACAAAGGGAATTGGGTGGGTAGATGGGTGGAATGGAGTTGTTTCCCATTCTAAAAAAAAATCTCTTCTTTGTTTCATGTAACTATGCTTCTTTGTTTTTTCTGTGATTTTCTGTTTGTTTGTATCCCTTCCCCTCCATTGCTTCTTGTTTTTGGTTTGGGCTTTTGATATATTAAAATATTTGTTGTTTCCAAAAAAAGGAATCGTAAAACTTAAAATCATAAACCGAAAAACTGTTTAACTAGGTTTTGATTAACCAAAAATTTTTTATTTGGTTAACCGACAATCATTTAATAATTTACTAAATAATAAGTGTATATATTTAGAGATTATCTAATACCATATCTAATTTCTCAAATAAAAATAATCTTTAGTCCTAACGTTCTAACAACAAATAAAATAATATAAATAAATAAATAATATAGTCGTTATGTAGTTTGTACACTAATTAATAATCTTTTGACATTATTTAAAAAAACTAGCAAAAACAAATAATTACTTGGTTTATGGATGAGTAAAACATAAAGGTAAACTTTATTAAAAAGTAATTGAAAATTACATAAATACCGGCGACCTAGCCCACACCCACGATCCAAGTTCACAAAGGGTTACCAATTTATTTGGATGCCACGTGCTTATTACTTTTTGATAAAAACTATTATCATTAACAAACCAATTTTATATCAATTAGAAAAGGACACGCGGCTCCGCCGCTTTTGGACTATGTCATAGAAGTTAAATATCGGCAAACTTTAAAAGATGTGTCGAAAGTGTAAATCGCCACAAATAAGGGAGAAAACCGACAACCCCTAAAATTAGATGTCAAAAATGTAGAACCAAAAAAAAGAACATTGATGGAAAAAAAACGAAAATTGTTATGGCTATAATGTGAAAGTTGCCAAAGTTGGAAAAATATGGTGGCAAAAAGTCTAAAGGAGGTTTTTTGTGTTTTTTATGTCAAAATGTAAATGTTTTGACTGTAAGGTTGAAAAGTGTCAAAGTCACTAAAAATTTGTGGCAAATACATCAAAATATAAAAGATTTGACTGCAAAGACGAAAAGTGTCAAAATCACTAAAGATTTGTGGCAAAAATCTAAAGGCACAAAAACTAAATCAAAACTTAAAAATGTAAAAGTTTTCACTTTGAGGACTAAAAATGTCAAATTCATCAAACATTTGTGGCAAAAACCTAAAGCTAAAAAGATTACTATTCATAAGGTCCCTTGGATTTAATATATATATATATATATATATATATATAATAAAAAAAAATAGAAAATATTAAAATTTATGATTTTTTATTCTCTATAAATATAGTATAATATTGATATAGTTCCGATTTATTTTTATTATATATTTTTTTAAATAAAACTAGGTTTGGGTTGGGTTGTTAATGGGTATGAATAATTGGATTGGGTTGAGTTGTATAGGTGGAAGAAAGAGAAATTAGTTTTTTATATAAAAGTTAGGTTGGGTTGGGTTGGGTTGGATTGCTAATGGGGTAGTCTTATTGCCCTTTAACTGCTTGTAATTTTCTTTGTCTTTGTTTTTGCTACGTCTTGTTAAGGTTTTGTTTAATAAAAGTTACGGTTCAAAAAAAAGTTTTTAGTTTTAAACTTAAATAATTTCTTTAAAAATAAAAAATAAAAGTTTAAGTTTTTCATTTAACTTGGTGGTCAAAAAATGTAAATCTTAAACAAAAAAAACTAAAGATTTTACCACTTCTGTTAACCAAATCATAAAAAAGTTATAAAAAAAAGGACTCGATTAACCTAAAAATTATTATGGTTAGTTAGTTTTGTGGTTTCAAATATTATGAACACTTTAATTTAAATAATTTAAATGAATTAATCATATACAAAAATTTTAGGAACTTACCTGTCAAGTGTATGAAATTCTATAAACATAATCTACACATAATTAAAGGGTGAGGCAAATGTTTGTTGATCGAGCATTATACCGTTTTTAAGCATTATAATAGTGAATAATAATGAAAGGAAAGATTGTTTTGAAAAAAATGTAAGTTGCCTACAAATTTAAAAGATATTATGTTTTACGAATTTAATCCAAATTTTAAACTTTGTTATAAAGAAAATATATAAATTAGCTATTAACAACCCTTTTGTGACTTTTTTTAAAGCCTTTTATAAATTATTTTTACAACTTTTCTTAAAAAAAATTACAACATTTTTAAAACCCTTTCTAAATTCTAACTTTTTTTTAGAACTCTTTTAAATTTTTTTCATAAAAAAGTTGAATGAAAGTTGTATGAATGTTTAAATAAATTTAAAAAAATTGTAAAACATGTTTAAAAGGTTGTATTGTAAAATTGGAAGACAAATTTATAATATTTTTTTTATAAAAAAAGTGTTGCAAAGTTCTATAAAATTCATAAATAATTTTTAAAAAGTTGTAAAAAAGTTAGAATTATAAAAAGATTAAAAAGAAAATTGTAGAATTTTACATTTTTTTTTCAAAAGTTTTAAAAATACTATAAGAAATGTCAAAAAAAAAATTGTGAACAATGTTTAGAAAAAGACTTTAAAAAATTATAAAAATAATTCGTAAAAATTTCTAATTTTAATCCGATTATATTCATAACAAAATTTAAAGTTTGGACTAAGTTCATATTAAAATTTAAAATTTAGAACAAAATCATAAAATTGAAATACGAGCTTTTTTACATGGTAAAGTAGATAAGAATACAAAAAATTTATAGTTCGTTATCTTTTTTGAAATTTTATTGGGCTTGTTGTCCATTATATTACATTTCAATAGTTTATTTCTAAAAACCAATGTTAACCGGTAAATAAAAAGACTTTGATCATATATCATATATATTAAAAAGTAATCTAGCGAAAACTAAAAAAGTTTTTTCTCTTAAAACCTCATTATTTTTCATAATCACCTGATTAGCATTTTTATTTTTAATTTAATCTTAACTTTATATTATCAAATTATTGTCAATTACAAAATTTATGATGCACGTCGGTTTTCACTTTTCATTAATTATCACCAATATAAACTTGCCAACTTGGTAATGGAAATAGAAATCTTAATACACCACAAAAATTTAATCCATAAGTTATGTTGTGAATTAAACACACATATTTCACACTTTCATAAAGTAATCAAATAATGTATCTAACCTAAATTATAGTCTACATGCCATAATTTCCATCATCACAAGACATGGTCTTTAAAGTTCTTCTTTTAATTTTTTTATGATTATAATATTGATTCTTAATCCGATTATAACCCAAACAACAAATAATGAATAATAATCTAATGAAAATATCACACGCTTTTTCCAAATATTGAGGATTATAAATATTTAATTTAACCATTAATCGTTTATTATAAAAACGAATAACTCAATTATGGATGCTGAATTAGTACAATAAACCAAAAGTTTTATTGGAGTCAAATCACAAATGCACCTACCATTTTTTTTTTCAAAAAAAGACCACAATAATGAGTTCATTTTCAAAATAAGATATGTATTTATGTCATTTATGTGTTTTTCTTTGTCAAAACAACCCATGTGCAAAGTTCATTTTGAAACTATTTTTGGTTATTATTTAATTACATTTCAATAGAACATTTTTTTAGAAAATTAGTATGACCCATATAAAATATAAATCAAACATTTAAAATGATTAAAACGTAAATAGCTAATATTCTTGCAGTTGTTATTTGATTAAAAAGTACTTTAACTATTTATTTGGTTTTTGGTAGAAAGAGACTACTTACATGTACATCGTCTCCCGGAGACGCCGACTGTGAAATTTCCTCCGGCACCGGCGACTCTCTGTCCGACCAAGCATTCAAAACGGCATCGTAATTCAATTTCAGTAGCAACCGCTGCTTTCGGGTACCAAAATCCCCATTTTCCGACTTCATCAATTCGTCCACTTTCTTCTTTTTCTTCTTCTTTCCGATTGGAGATTTTTCACATTTCACCGGTGGCGCCGGTGTAATATCCACCATGTCCACCATCGGAATCCTCCACCAGTTTCCTTCATCGCCGTTTCTCAATGCTTTCACTCCGTTTCTAGCCCCGAATCCCAGCCCCATTGGGTAGCCATGGCTGGTGTTGGCATCTGTTGAAACAATATCATTTGATTCATCGTTTACTAAAACCAAATTCGAATCCCCCATGATACTATCAATCCCCTGTTCAATTTCCTCATCAAGAAGAGACTGAGTATCAAAATCATCAAGACCCTCATCGCTCAATTCCACAGAAACACAATTCGATTCGATTTCGAGTTCCCCTGTACTCTGAAACTTGGGCTCGACGAACAAACAGGGCTTCTCAGTATTTCGTTGCCGGAGTAGGATCCCGGAGTTTTCAATCGACGGATATGGCAAGATTAATTCAGGTAGCTCGTTGAACAGGTCACAATGTTGTTTGGAGAACGTGGGTAAGTTATTGGTTCGTTTTGTGAGGTGCTTGGTGTTGAAAATATTGGGACATGCCATGAACAGCAGAGCTGCTGCTTCATTGTAAGTTTGATTTGGTCGTTTTCGAGGTGCTCGTGGCTTTCGAGTGGAAATTGCAATCGGAGAATTGCTTGATTCCGATAAGGTTGAAGATGGGGACGAAGAATTTGAAATTGTTTTACTGGAAGTAGTACTAGTACGTGGCCATTTGATCATTTGATCAATATCAAACCCACAAGCTCTTGAACCTAAACACGATGACATTTTGAGCTTTCAAAAACTCAATTGACCCCAAAATTCATCTACGCATTCAAATAAATGAAGAAATATATATCGAAAACCCAAAATTCAGTTATTCAGGGACATGGTTTCTGGGTTCCAGATGAATTCAATCACTTTGTCGGAAAGAAACAAGAACAGAGCATACAACGGAAGAAGAAGAAGAAAAAAAAACAAATCAAACAAGAATTGAGAACAAATCGAAGAAATACCAAAAACCCAGATCGGGATTCTTTAAAAAAATGTTGCAATCGATTGGAACAGAAATTGAATCGATAAAAACTTGAAATAGCAATAGAAAAGAGAGTAGAAAAGCCTTAAACCCTAAAAAGTGCTTAAAGTAGGCTCCTTTTGGGAAAAATGCCAAAAGAAATAAAATCTAGAATATTAGGTTACAAGAAAAGAAACTTTAAAAAGCCTATGTGGGAAACCTATTTAAAAGTTCCAACCTTGAAGTTATCGAGTAGAGTGAAGAAGACTCCCATAGGCGTAGGGAACTATGAAGAACAGAGATTTTGTAGCAGGGCTAGGCAATTAGCTAAATGAGGAAAGTGAATATATATATATATATATAGGTGTACGTGTATCAAGAAGATTGAAGGCACAGAACCCTAATCATGAATTGGGATTACCCAGATTTATCCAGTAAGGAGATCAGAGACTGTAGTGTGTGTTTTTGTATGTTTGAAGTCACGACACGAGAATGGAGAAGAGAGCCTGCAAAAATGGCAGAGATCGGCCTCCTCTATCTTTGCAGATGATCTCTCTGTGTGTATACATGTATATGTAAATGTATACGTAAAATCTGTATGTGAGTTTTTGTTTTGCAGATAAGTATGAGAGGATGGAAACAAAGGAAGAGACAGTACTGAGGCCCTGGCATTTCTCCTTTGGAAGGACCACTCTGTTGTTTCTGACTTTGGTGAATGATGATTAAGAATTGTGCCTCCACTTTCATCATTCAATTATAATTTTGTATTGTATAGGGCTCTCTAATAGCAACAATTATATAAATAATGACTTCTAAAGTTTAAATATTTTTTTTATTATTTGAAATTTGTGTTGTTATAACTAATTCTCGAGACATTTAAAAAAATGATTATTCTGTTCCAAACGGGTATTTTTCATTAAAATATATTATAAATATATAAAGATGCAAGTTAACTTTTCTCAAGTAGGGTTGTTCACTATTCGGATAAAACTGAATTATCCAATTGGACTATTTGGTTCGGATATTCGGATTTTTGGATTGGTTTTCAACAAAACCGAATTATTATTTTGGATTTCGGATTGGTTTTGGTTTATAAAATAAGAACCGAATAGTCCAAAAAAACCGAATAAACATTTATTATTTATCTATTTTTAATATACATCTACAGTTATTTATTAATTTTGTAATTTATTTTTTCAAATAGGTTCAAAATGTTTCACCTGATAAAAAAATATTAATATGCATTTTCTCTCAAAACTTTTCTATCTATAAAATATTTAACTATAATATATCTTCTTATTAGTTGTTTTTTAAACCCAAATTTTTTGTTTTTTTTTACCTTTTTAAACACCTATAAATACTCAACTATTTACCTTCAACCAACATTCAAACAAACCTCTACTCTCACTATTTTCTTCTCAAAAAAAAATGAATCCCGACAATCAAACCCCAACTTCCGATCGAAGGAAAAAAAGTCATTGTTCGACTTTAAACATCCCTACTCGAAACATTTTTACTATCGATTCATCACCACAACAAGTTTATCTCCCCCAACTTGATGCTCCCATTCAATCCCCCCTACAATTTCAATACCAAAATGTTGGCCAATATTACCCGATCCAAGTTTCAAATGTTACGCCGCAAATGTTTTCAAACTTTGTTGTTTTTCCGAATCAACAATCGCCAAATCAACCTCAACTCCAAACTCAAATTCCCTCCCAACAACAGCGCCAACCTGTCGATGAGTTGGATGACTCGGAAGAAGAAGAGATGGTTCCCGAAACTCAACACACACCACCCCCACAAAGACGTAAAGGGAAAAAACAAGCGGGCGAGGGTGTCGCACAACCGGGAAGACAAAAGCCGACAGCATGGCTTCCACACAAAGAGCTAGTTTTGGTCAAAGCTTGGGCTGACATTTCGGAGGATTCGATTCAAGGAAACGCACAACCGGGAGACCATTTTTGGTTTCACATTTTAGAACGGTTTCGAGATGAGCTAGAAAAAGGAGACGACTACCGTACGAAACATCAACTGAATTCGAAGTTTCTAGAAATAGCAAAGGGGGTTTCAAAAATAAACGGGTTGTATAACAACCTAAAAACTCAACGAAAAAGCGGCCAAGGCGACGAACAAATACTTCAAGAAGTTTTGCAGTTTTACCTTGAAGAAGTCAGGAAACCATTCAAGTGGCACGATTGTTGGAAATTATTGGTCCGATGTCCTGGGTGGAAAAAATACGAGCAAGATTTTATTTTTGGAGTACAACAATCAAAGCGAACAAAAACGGACTTTAGTGGTTACACAACCTCCTCCGATGCACGGGTCGGTCTATATTTAAATCAGGATGACGAACTCGAGCTAGAAGAAATTGTCCGCCCAATGGGTAGAGACAAAGCGAAGAGAAAGGGAAAATGGACTTCTTCGGGTGCATCTGATTTTAGCATGGCCATTGACGAAATGCGGAAAATAACAGTGTCGTTTGATCGATATAATCTTAATTTTTCCGAACGTTTGGCTTTCGACAAAGAAAAAAAAGAAGCAAGGAAAAAGGAGCGGGCGGAGAGACAAGAAAGGGAGGATATGAAGTTTTTTATGGAAAACACCGATCATCTCTCGGGACCGGCTCTCGAACTCGTGATGAAAAATATGGAAAAAATTATGAAAAAATATTTTTCGTAGGTCGTTGTTGGTTTGTTTGATTTTTAGTTTGTGTTTTTTTTCTAGTTTTTTAAATTTTAGGTTTATTGTAATTTTTATTTTAATTAATGAAATACATTTTCTTTTTAATTAAATTTTTGGTTATTTTTAATCTAAAAATTATAAATCATAAAAATCAATTAATTTTATTTTTAAAAAAAATAGTGAGGGAAGTCTTTCCCACCCATCCCTTGGGTTTTAGGTGAGGGAAAGAAAAATGGAGGAATGTGTGGTATGGCCCACAAAAAGTGTGGGAAACATCCCTCCCATACCCTCTACTCTTCATAATGCATATTGTACAATAAAGGTTGATCTATTATGCGCATCTATTTGTTTATTTTGCTATTGTGCGCCTCCTTCTTGCCGTGTAATTGAATTGCAGCATTCAAAACTAGTGATGCAAATTTGACCCGCGGATTCGGGTACTTGTGGGTATCCGACCCTAACGGGGCGGGTATTACTCCTCTAAACGGGTAACGGGGCGGGGACGGGGTTGAAATTTCATATCCGAAGCGGGGGCGGGGCGGGGATCGGTATGATACTATCCGCCCGTTTAAAACCC